TGAGATGTAAGGAGTTACTGCGTGTCGATGAGTTGGAAACAGGAACATTGCTAAGAAGCAAGAACAGAGAAAGAATAATTAGGAAGACACCAGATAGTGATTTACATTGCATTCAAATTTTTAAAGATTAAAGTTGACTGGAAAGCTTTGTTCCACAAGCAAGATATGCAAGAAAAGAAATTGTTAGCATAGAATTTACGGTTACATCTAGCCAGCTCAACTGTAAATTGGCAAGACCTTATCACCAGTCTCGTACTGTGCTTAAATTTGAAGAGTCTAGGTACCATAGTGAAGAGCTCATCTAAACAATTACCATGTAATTTTTTATAGAAAAGACACAGGAAGGTAACCTTACAGTGATGGAAAAGTGACTGAAACTGGGCCACCAGATCAGAGCCAGTAATAAAGCTGATTCTTCTTTAGATTTTATCATGAATTTCTAGATATATAGCAGGAACTCCAGACCATATGTGGTAGCAATTGTCTAAGCATGGGCAAATGGTAGACTTATAAATATGTAATATAGAATCAGGAGAGAAAAAATGTCTAGCATGACAGAAGTGAACCAACCTTCCTGGCTGCTGACCTAGCAATGGATTTCAAATAGTCTTTCCACTTCATGTCAGCCAAGAACGTTGATGTGACTACATATATGTATGAACAAGGGATGCTGGGAATGTCAAATATAAATTTTTTTTTCTTATATAATCTAGCCAATTTCATTTAGATTCTTTTTCTTTTACTTTCCATCACTTTTGTTATTAGAAATCCTACACTGTGATGTAAGAAAATCTGCAAGGAATGGTGAAATGTTGTAGAAATCAGGGCACAAATTTACTGTGGATGACCTTGTGAGCAAGGCACTCTCTCAAAATATATATATATATATATATATATGAAGAAATATATATACATATATATATATATATATATATATATATATGAAGAAATATATATACATATATATACATATATATATATATATATATATATGAAGAAATATATATACAGATATATATATATATATATGAAGAAATATAGTTTTGAGGTGTGCTATATTTATGCGATAAAGTGCTCAATATCAGAGATAGAGCGTATATAAATAAAAATATAAAAGTGAACATTGAAGTCAACACTTAGAGGCAACAGGCTGTTTCATGCTAGATGCAATTGTCAGGCAGCCCGATGATTGCGTCTAACATGAAACAGCCTGTCACCTCCGAGTGTTGACTTCAATGTTCACTTATATATATATATATATATGTATGTATATAATAAGACTAAACATCCTGGCATTACATAGATGTTTTAGAGTTGTACAGTTTAAAAAAAAAAAACAACAGTTTATATATACACATATATATAAATTTGCATCACTTGTAATGGCTGCTGTCTTGTTTTGGTATCTTCTAAAATGGCTCTTCTTGAGACCAGCATTCAATTTCATAGGATCAAGCATATATGGCAGATAATCTCTGGATCTTCATGCCCTGAAACTCTCCTGCATACCACCATGTACTTTTTACAGTTTAGATGATGATTCTTTTTAAATCTTGTTGCAAACAAGGTATTTGCTGGCAGAATGATGAAGCAGGTTGGCATAATTGAGTTGTTTTTGGTTGTTATAATGACCTTTCAGATGGTTTACATATTCTACCTTCAATAATAGCATATGCTCATACCCACCACATTTCCAAGACTGCATTTTAGTTGCCAAATCAGAGATACTGCTTGATTTGAGCATACCTGAGACATTCATCCTAAAAAACATTACACTCCTCCTATATATTACATATATCTAGGCACCTGAAGATCATGAGAGCCTGAAACATAATTGAATATTCAAACTGTGCCTCATTGTGGGTGGACACTGTGAACAGATTTTTGCTCTGACTGGAAAGCCTAGGTGTTGAGCACTAATTTACCACTGAGGTAGGTGTTTGCCTTTTAGCCAGACTGGTCTAGAAGGACAATTCTGAATTCAAAACCTGTGGAGGGTCATTTGGGGACCTCTGTGGCACATAATGCACCAGGTCTCTGTATTTAGCCCTTCAAAGGAGGCGGATGGTTCTGCACAAAACCATCACCACTCTAATCAAATCTCATGTGCTGATGTCAAGCTGTTGGTTTTAGGAACTGATCTGCTTGACCCTCATACATCGAATTCAATGGGAGAGTTGAGTATATATATATATATATATATATAGTATAAAAAATTTGAAAAAATTTGCCCTCAACACTTCCTGGGTTTCAACCTTAGTGATTTTGGTAAATAATTAATTTGCAACACTATTCAAGCCCACTCCTATAGCTTGGTGCCATAAAGTAAAATTATCAGAATGGGAAGAACCAGAAGTGAGAGAAAAAAAAACATTTTTGCATATATAATCATCCAGGTTTGTAGTTGACCAGAGTATGTTTATTAACATGTCTACATCTGGACATCAATTCAGACTGTTCATTCAACAACTTGTCTCTAGGTATTTTGTGATTAAATTTTTCTCTCATGAAAATATCCTCCTTTAGCCTTGATTGCTCCAGCACAAATTTTTGGCATTTGTTGCAAAGGTTTCTTCCAGTAGAAGTTTGATAACTAATTCCATTCTCTTTTCAATGACTCTAAGAGCTCTTTTTCATTTTTTCACTCTTCTGTCAAGTTCATCCCATGCTAATTATGGGGATGGCTTCAAACTTTTGAACTGTAGTGTATATATATATATACACTAAAGTCATTACATTCTTCCCTTATACATACATACATATATATATATATATATATATATATATATATATATATATATATATATATATTGCTTATTGCTTTTGTATGTACAGTACTTAGTGGAATACGCTCAATATCAATGATAGAGCTAATATATTCTGTTGTATGTATATGAGTTTGTGATTGTCTGATGATCACAAAAGCGTGAAACCCAGCACCACAAACTTATATTCATATAACAGAATATATATATATATATATATATATATATATATATATATATATATATATATATATAAAGTGTGTTTCATTAAGATGGATCAAAGTCAGCATTAAATAAATCAGTGTTATTGGTGAAAATTTATTTATTTCTCTATTGGATCATGTTATTTAAGTCATGGCAATTATGTGTGAAAAATAATACCGCCCAAATATCCACCAAATCTGAAAGAAAAAGAAAAAATCATTTGACACTTAAACTTAATTCCGTTTTAAAATCAGTCCAAATTATTGGAACACCCTTTACATAGTAAATTCAACATATATCCTTCTCTCTTTATAAAAATCTATTACTTTCCTTAAAAATATTCACTTTTACATTTGGATCTGAAACCGTGCAGGTATGAAAAATTTTTGATTATCTATGATGAGAGAAGTTCAGCTGGTTCTGTGTAGCTTAGTTGGTTAGAGCTGCTAGGTCTAACAATAGCTCTGCTTGCCCAGGGGGGTGCAGGTTCAAATCCTGCTAAGAGCATAAATTTTTCTTTAATAATTTTTTCAAACATTCAGGCCAGTAGATGAAAATAAATATATTATTTAATAAATAAATGGAGCATCCATTTAAATACCCATATCTACTAAAAAGAAAAAAAATGTTTAAATTGATAAACAATGTGTCAGATTAATAAAAATCTATTACTTTCCTTAGAAAAATTTGCTTTGTTTATGTTTGGATATGAAACTGTAAAGATATGAAAAACTTTATGAGGTCTATGATGAGAGATGTTTCACTTAAAGGCACAATTTGGCTATGCATGATCAACTGTTTCTCTGTCTGCAGACTCTAAAGGTAGCTCCTTCTACTCAGATAGGACTATCTGCTAAAAATAACATTATATGTACATATACACACTAAATGCACTACATCTATACATTCAAGTATATCTATTTCAAAGCAACAAAAATCTTTCGTAGTGCATCATTTTTATTCTTGATCCAGCTGAATCTAAAATTAATTGTTTTAACTCTGTGCCTCAAAATATTGACTGAAATGCATTTTGTTGATATATTGTTCATAATAAAGAAAGAAAGAAAAAAATCAAAGAAAGAAAGTAAGTAAAACTAGAATGAAATAAAATTAACATGGCTAGTCGGGCTATGTAGACCTGAGGCCTATCTGAGCTGGAGACATTTAATAGGTAGTGCATTTCTTCCTTTAATTTTATAAATAATCTTTTAAAAATCTCTAATGAATTGTATGCCTGCTTTTCAAAGAACACATTTTTATTTCAACTTATTCTTTTCAAATGTCCATTTTAAATAATTTATTCCATACAGTACAAGGATTTTTCACACAATGTTTGAAAAAGGGCAAATTAAATTTAGCCCAAACTAAAGTCAGTGAAAATCAAAGAAAACCATAACTCGTTGACTGGAGGGTTGGGATAAGGAGTGTGACTGAAGTAGTGTTGAGGAAATATAATATCAGTCATCTGTACTGATCATAAATGTAAAAATTCACAGACAGAGAGATACATAAACGCACTAACACATACACATATATACAAACACACACTCGAGATATACACACATTAATTTTCAAAAGAAAAATGGCTAGAGATTTTTAAAAATTATATATTTCAGAGTAAAGGAATCATTTTAGCATCTAAGTTATACCAATAGTATATTTTGTTAAAGATTGTAATGAACCTGACAAACATTGATAACTGAATAACCTAAACATGTATCCTGTATGACACTTAAGTGATTGATAGATGTGCTGGATTTAGTGCCTATATGTACAGATACATTGAATTTAATGTGTGCATATAGAGATGTAGTGCATTTAGTATGTGTGTGTATATATATATATATATATATATATATATATATATATATATATATATATATATATATATGCCAGTGGCAACTCTAGGTTATATGACAATAAATTTTTTTGGGAAAACTTTGTTCAAACAAAAAAAAAAAAAATTTTATAATGGTAATAAATATTACTTAAGTAATATATATATATGCGTATACATACATACATACATACATACAGATAGATAGATAGATAGATAGATAGATAGATAGATAGATATTATTTAAGTAATATATATATATGTGTATACATACATACATACATATAGATAGATAGATAGATAGATAGATAGATAGATAGATAGATCCTTAATTCACTATATCTTTAAATGAAAATAAAGATTTCTTTAAAAAAATAAAAATCAAGACCTTACTAATACAAGAGAAATAACAGAATCTTTTGGTGAAAAACAAACTAATCAGATTATTTTTCATTTTGAAATATAGACTTCAGAAAGCAAAGAACTATTCAATGAATTTTCAGAAAGATTTGATCTCAATTTCGTGAGGTACAACCCTGCTGCTGAAAATGCCCTTTCAGATTCTGCACTTGTACACTTAATTGAAAGTAATGCATTATAGAATTTGTCTAGATTTTCTGTTCTTTTTAAAGATACTTTAAAGCTCTTAAATTCCATGTTTGTGTGTAGATATGTGTTGTGGATATCGACTACGAATAAGAAATTGGAGAGCTGAGTTCAAATTCCAGTCGGGTTTGTTACATTCACTTACACACAAATACTCTCACATCCATCACTTCACCCCTAGCTATGGGTTGAATAACCAGACCTATGGCCTAGGCAGGCAACCAGTCTACCACAGAAAGAATCAGCAACCTACTGTGGGAAAATCTGTCTAGTCAATCATGAATTGAATATATTTTCAGTTTATGCATTATTTTTTATCATTACTTTTATTTGACTAAATGCTCTGTGTTTTTAATTAAACAGAATTAAATACATTTACTGGTCTGAATGTTTGAAAAATTTTGTAGAAAATACATGTTCTCCAACAGGATTTGAACCTATATTCTATACAGAACCATCATTAATCCTGATGTGCTATGACTGTTCAGCCACAAAGAACTTCCAGTTAGCAAAGCTCAAATTACTGCTTTTAAACACACACCTTTGCCAATTTTTCTTGATCAATATCTGCTCTGAAATTGTAGCCTAACATAACAATAACAACATATTATATGAAATGGATTAAATCTAACAAATATTAATATATATATATCTTATATTAATATATATATATCCATAAAAAATAACATAAACAGAAAATATATTAAAATATTTGATGAATTTAATCCATTTCATATACATATATATATATATATATATATATATATATATATATATATATATATATGTTGCTTAATTAACATTTTCTTACCATTACAAAATTATTTTTTTGTTTGAATAAAGTTTTTCACTCATAATTTATCAAGATGTACTGAAAAAATTATTATTTTTTTAAATTAGTTGTTCTATAGTACAATTTGTTTTTGTTTGAAAAATATTTATTATTCATTAAGGATACAGTTTACCAAAATGAAATAATTACTGACTTTTATATCATTGAAACTTACCTATACATCTACTTTTTTAAGTTATTTCTTATATCACTGAAGATTACTTATGTGATATATTTTATTGCTTAAAAATTTAGTTATATTTGTCATATGACCAAATTTTTAAGCAACAAAATAGATCACTTTTAAAATTTTTCTTTTTTACCTTTGAATCCGTGAAAAAAATGTATAATTTTGTTAATATCACTATTAACAAAATTATCAGTATGAATACCAGTACTGGAAAGTTCAGTATTATAACATGACTAATTAGTACATATACAAACTAAATTCAGAACATCTATTTACACTATTTACATCGTTTGGACTGTTGTCCTCATCTTTATCATCGTATTAACAACATTTTGGCCGTTGTATGCTCTGACTTGCTTCCGATGATATATTTTGGAATTTCAAACAAAATCCTTTATTTAGTCGATGGGGGCAGATTGTTCTAATTCCATGTGCCATGCTTTTTATCCACAGGATAAAGGCATTGGTTGAGTAATCCAAAAAGTGACTTGACCTAAAGAGTTGTTAGTTCAGTAACTGGCCACAGCAGAGAAAGCAAAAACTTAGAGAGTTGAGCTACTAAAGGGAATTAACTGAAACAGAAATATCCAGAAAAGGCATGGCACGTGGAATTAGAATAATCTACCTCCGTGGTCTAAACAAAGGATTCAGTTTGGAATTCAAATGTATATAACCTGAAGAAGGTTAGAGTATACAAAGGTCAAAATGTCATAACTATGGCAATGAAGATGAAGACAACAGTTTGAACAATGTACATAGTGTAAATAGTTACAATACCTCATCTTGGAAATATAGACAGATATCTAGAACAACTATATATAAACATTGTAAATTGAAGAGAAGACCCTATTTTCCAATTTTCTTTGGAAAAGTCGACATTATTTAACCTTGAATTGCTATTTGAAAATTGAGTTTCTTCTGGAAAACTTTTATATCAAGCACAGAACACAAGGAAGCCAAGGAGGACTGCAAATACTTTTGGAAAAGAATCAATTCATCTTCATTGTCAATTTTAACTCAACATTTTGTCAACTAATCTCTTGCAGTACTTTGCAAATTTGGTACGCTAGACAAAAATCAAATGAGAATTGCTTGAATTGGCCTGGAGTTTTTTTTTATGTCTTAATTTTCTGCCAACCCCGGGAAGTCAAATGACACAAGAATCAACTTTGTCTCTTTGTACATACACAACTTACTGAGTCTATTCAGAGGGAAAACTAAAAACCACTAGTTGGACCATGAATGCCAAGTAAATTATCTTTTCCCTCCCAGAAACAATTCATGTTGATATAGTTGTCTGTCTGTCATAGTTTAAAGAAAATCTTCAATATCTAAAGAAAATATAATTTGAAATTAAAAGTTATATGCCTGTCAGCAGTGTTCTTCTCTTAAACTTTCTAGCAATAGAGTTTCTGATGTGTTTTATAAAATATTTGTTTATGCAGCCTGTGATATCATTGGAAGGACTTATTAAACTATTTTATAAGAAAAAACGCATTACTATTATTCATTAGAAAATGCATCAAAACTTTTCTTTGCTTGAATAATTACTTACATTATTTGGACTGTTATCCTCATCTTCATTGCCATATTCACAATGTTTCGACCATTGTACGCTCTGGCCTTCTTCAGGTAATTGAAATTTTGAACTGAACCCTTTATTTCATCCACAGGGGTAGCTTGTTCTAGTTCCACATACCATGCCTATTCCAGACGTCTCAGTTATTTCCCTTTCCCCAAGTTTTTTTGTTCGCCACTGCTGTAGCCTGGTATTGAACTCACAACTCTTTGGATCTAGTCACTGGATCTAACCAACTCTTCCTTGAGGACATCTTTGTATTAATTTCTGGGGACTTATGAACCTAATGTCTCAGCAACCGATATTTTTAACAGTGCTCATATTGCAATTTTTTTGTTATTATTATTGCACTTGTTTACTAATTTGAAATTTATTTTGTGCTGTTATTTATTGATTTTCTCTGGCACTTTTTATTACTTGTTCCCATATTGTATTCATTTCTATGCTTGGTCGACTCAGGAGATTTTGCAGCCTAGCATATGTGCTGATTTCTTAAGTTTTTGTATTTTCCGTTGATGTTCACTATCTATTATTTCAACCTCATCCCACAAGTAGAATAATTACATACACTGATGTGCCAAAAGTCCCAGTATAACAGTAAATAAAGGTAAAAGTTGTTGGAAACACCATTACTTGAAGTTATAGAAATACCCAGACCTGTATCATACTATAACATTTTGTTTAAATCATTGTTAATAATGTTTATTCTGCTCATGTAAACAAAGAAAAGAGTTCTGAACTATTCTATAATATCAGTTCTCCTATATGGCAGGAATTGAAGGACAATCTCCTCACAGATGAAGAAGAGATTTGAACTAATAGAAATATGGTTCTACAAAAGGATACCGAGAATAACATGGACAAAACATTGAGAAATGAAACAGTTTTAGAGAAAATGGAAGCAAAAAGAAGACTTATATCAGAAAATAGTTGGAATTTCTAGGGTATATAATAGGAAAAGAGGGCTTAGAAAATCCAACACTCACAGGATACAAGAGGTATAGACAAAAAACAGTGCATGACTGTTGTAGCATACCTATGGATGATAATAGATATGTCCCCATTCAGATAAATACAGTAGTAAATGCTGTATGTTGGTCTGCAGTTGGAGATTCATTGTGGAATTCACTTGACCCACTTTTAGCAGTTGACTATTCTTCTACATGCCACTGACAAATCTTATATGTATTGTTCTTGTCCTAAGTATTATCTTTCATTACCAACCATTGTTTGATTATTCTATTCAGCAACCTTCCCTAGGTTACAACAATAACCTATGTAACAAGCTGTGCAAATAAATAAACAGAGTTTAGGAAAAATAGCAAAAAGACAAAATTTGTTAAGAGCTACAAAGGACAGGAAATTGTGGAGAGCCATGATTTCTCATGTCCTGAAGAGACATGTCACATAGAAGAAGAATTAATAAAATAGTTTTATAGACTTGTGGTGATATTACATATACTTAAGTTTTTAGGATCAATTTCTTATGTAAATTTTTTTTTTTTTTTTAGTGAGGTAAAATTCATGCAGAAAATTTCTGGGGTTGCACTATACATGAAGTTGTCCTATCCATGAGTATATACAGTAATCAGTTTAATACAGAACATGTCAATTTACAAGGAGGTGCTGAAAAGCTCAAAAAATAATTATGATCTTTTTGGTAAGAGTTTGGGAAGTGGGTTAGAGAAATTTTCATCACCTCGTCATAGCTAAATACGTTTCTGTTTTGCAGTTTTAGCAGCTACATAAGTGATCGTTTTTGGCATCTTTAACGCACATTAAAATTTGTACTGCTGTCTTAGACACTGAGTCTTTTGTTTTTCATTTGTGCAGATAGCTTGATGGATAATTATTGTTGTAATAATGCCAAAGATCATATAATAGACTCTTATACATTTCTCTGTCTCTGTTTGTTTATTGCTCAGTCAATAAAACTTACAAGTTAGGTTAGAAGATCATGTTTGAGAACTACTTGAAAAATTAAAGGAAAATAGTCAAATATTTTGGAAGTGACAAAAAGAATATTCCTTGAAAATTATCAGATAGCACAAGATTCATATCTCGAAACAGATCAGTTTACATATATTTAAAAACAAAAATAAATTACTTAATACATAAATGCTTTTGGCAGAACCTAAGTACAATGTAAAGTCATCTCCTATAATTCTCAAAATGTGTGTGTATGTATGTATGTATGTGTGTGTGTGTGTGTGTGTGTGTGGTCGGATGTTGTTTATGTGTTTCCACATTTTTCATCCAATTTCGATGAAATTTTTTTTGTTTGATAGTTAAGTTAATTCTTCAGTGCTGGTTTTGAATCCAAATTGTTGATGACATGGCTCTCCACTACTTCCTGTCCATTACAACTCTCAGCAATGTTTTACTATTT